CCAACATCCTTTCATGAAAACAGAAAACTAGGACCCAGTTCTCCTCTTCCCCTATTTGCTTCTAGACTTTCCGTTCTCTTCATTCACTCTAACTTATCCTTGTGGTCCTTTGAGCGTGCTGAACACATACCTTCATACTGCTGTTCCCCCACCTGGAATTACTCTTCACACAGACATCTACCTGGCTAGCTCTCACATCCTCTGTTTTTTCAAGTCACTTTCTCAGTGAGGCCTTCATTCACACACCTTGGAATTTCACATTCTCCCCTCCTATTCTTTTTTACCATCACCCAGATGCTATGCAATGTTTAAATTCATATTCATTGCCTGTTTAGAATGTAAGCTTCATAGGGCAGTACTATTTTGTTCACTATATCCCTAGTACCTGAGAGCACCCACAACTACACAGACATGTGTATACACCACACATACACAACAAACAATAAAATAGAAAATGAATCCTCAAACTAATGTACTGCCATTTGCAGGAAGTAACCAAGGGTTAGGTGCTCTGTAAACCTGTGCTCCCCAAACACTAGTGGAGCCCCGCTGTGGGGAGGGATAAGCTGAAGAGATCTGTGTACTCATGCTGAAAGGAGGAATTCAGCTGAACTTTGAGACACAAGTGAGACTCTCAAGTGCAGTGCACAGACGTAGTGAAATGGGATATGAATCTAGGTTGAGGCTTTGGCTAAGAGCCTTAAATGCCAGTCATACCATTGCTTTAGGGAACCACTAAGATATTTAAAAACGATGTAAGGAACTAAGACTGACAAGAAAGAAATGTCATTTTGTTCTTATGCACCAACATGACTAAATACTTGGTGACCTTATTAGCTCACTTGGCTAGCTGCAGTGCTTCCATTTTCAATGACTTCCCATTATTCTAGACACATGCCCTTACCGTAACTGAGGTTTATACAGTTACATCTTCACTTTTTGCTTCCACGCTGCCTTTCTGTCTGCTGCAGCCACACCCGCTCCACATTCTTCTCCCACCATTTGAGCATCTGTTGTCCCATAGTTTTTCCCCTTTCTTTGCCTAGTTAAATCCCCACTTTCCTTCAGACCACAGGTTGCACACTTCTCTGAGGGACACTGTCCAGCAGCCCTATGTACAGACTACCATGGCCCTCTCAGTATTTCTCCATCATAGCTCTCACCACTTTTAATGCATTAACTTGTATTCTTAGATTCATACATACCCTTTGCAAGCTTGAAATTCTCCCAATACGCCCCCTACCCAACTGACAACTCTTAAGCCCAATGTCTAAACAGTCCATGACTCCAAGCTCTGTCTGCTGAGCCTATGGACTACCATGCATGGAAGAGAGAAAAGTGAGGATCTTGGAATGAACCACGAGAAGGGGAAGATTACTTGTCTAGCAAAGTCTTTTTGAAGGAATCACATAATGAAATGCCTTTCAAGCCTTTTAGAGCTTGTGGCACGTTCAAGTGGCACGTCAGGGTTCAAGTCCAGGCTTGTCTGCCTTAAAACAAAGCAAAAGTCTGTGTGTGTTTTCTGTCAGTGTATTTATAAGCATGGAAAACAGAGTGAGCCTTCTCATAAGCACAGATCTGCTCCAACTGCTCCTCCTGTTCCATACATAGGTCGTCTCACTCAAAAGCTTGTAAACCTGCAAGCAGAGGCAGCAGACTTTCCCACCATCCTTTCTGAATAGGTGTATACTTCTAGATTTGTGAAGCATAATTACCAAACACAAACCTGAATCAAAGACTTCTGTGAGAAGGTGTCTCAGACTAATCAATGTTACAGTAGCCGAGTTCCTCTATTCTTCCAAAGGTCAGTCCTCCACGGCACACCCATGCCTTCTAAAGGCTGAGCAGGATTCCACCTGCATTTAATTACTGAACTCTCTTACATCCTTTAATTTCTCTGAGTCATTGTTATCTATAAAGTGGGAGTGTTGTAACTTCTCAAAAAATATTCAACACCTAAACCCTTGCCTGGCATTTTACATGTACCATCTACCTAGACTTTACAACCCTGTGAGGTTAGAGTCTTGTTATGGGGAAATGAATGTGGAGAAAGAACGCAACAAACTCAAGGTCACATGAGCAATAACCACAGGAGCCTGGGACTCAAATCCAGACCACCATTTCCTTTCTACTGTGTCTCGTCAATGAAGGAGGCTACTGTGAGAACCTTAGAAATGTAAAGAGCAAGCTTTCAACCTTAAAAACCATAAAAATAAGCCAGGTGTGGTAGTGCACGCCTTTAATCCCAGCACCTGGGAGGCAGAGGCAGGCGGATCTCTATGAGTTCGAGGCCAGCCTGGTCTACACAGTGAGTTCAGGACAGCTGGGGCTACAGGGAGACCCTGTCTCAAAAAGGAAAAAAAAAACAAAAAACATAAAAATATACAGTTTAAGAATGTTAAGCAGTTAAGTTGGAGAGGGAGTACTAAAGCCTTAAAGATTTTAAGGGTGAAGAATTACCAAACAGATTATTTTTCTCCTAAGAGTAGTAATAATTGTTACACTTCAAAGCTCCCAACTTAAGAAGAAAATAATTCCATTGACAGTAAGCCAAGGGACTGAATATTTCTCCAAAGGCAAACCAATGACCAAAATGCACATGAAAAATGTTCGTCATTAGCTGTCAGGGAAACAAATCAGAACCACAATGGGGTACCACCATAGATACTAAGATGGCTACAATAAAAGACAACAGCAAGTTGGCAAGAAGCCCTACACGTGGACTCTGTGGCAGCCTTGGCAATTCCTTAAAGGGTCAAACCTAGCTGGGTGTGGTAATGCATGTCTTTAATCCTGGCAGAGGCAGAGGCAGAGGCAGAGGCAGGCGATCTGTGAGTTCCAGGTCAGCTGCGACTATAGGGAGACCCTGTCTCAAAAAAGACCGAAAAACAAACAAACAAACAAACAAACAAAAAACCCTCAACCCAACCCAAAAACCAAGCCCAAGAACAAAGTCAAACCTAGTTCCTTACAAGAATTGAAAACCTAAGTACAATTTGTATACAAGCGTTGCAGCAACACTGCTCACAGTAGTCAAGAAGGGAAATAATGCAAGTGTCTAACAACTAAGATTTTTTTTTTTTTCTGTCTTTTTGAGACAGGGTCTCCCACTAGCTCCAGCTGTCCTGGAACTCACTATGTAGACCAGGCTGGCCTTGAATTCAGAGATCCACCTGCCTCTGCTTCCCAAGTGCTGGGACTACAGGTGTGCGCCACCACGCCCGGCTAACAACTAAGATTTTTAAAGTGTGATGCATCCATGTGGTGGACCAGCCATGAAGACTGAAGCACAGATATATGCTACAACATGGACCAGTCTTGAAATGCTGTGGTAAGTCAATTATCACAGACCATTTATTGTGTTCTATTCACACAAACTGTCCAAAACAGGCAAATCCATAGAGACAGCAAGTGGCCCCTGGGTCTGGAGTGGTGGTGATGCTGGTGGTATGTTCAGGGCTAGTTTCTTTTGCAATGAATGAAAATGTTCTAAAATTGATTTTGATAATGGGTTGCCCAATCTGTGAAAATTCTAAAAGTCATCAAACCACACACTCTAAATGAGTAAGTATATAGCATGAGTATCTCAATAAGACTATTTAAAAGAAGTCTACATTTATCATAAATTACATCTGTAACAGTAGGTACTTATTAACCAAATCTTACCACTTCCTAACAGGTGTGAGGATTCCAATAATTCCGGAGAAATGCAACATTATCTCTAAATATCCTTCAGAGATAATGTAAAACTACATTTAATTTGTGGACTTAAACATGAAACACTCATAGAAATGATGTTATCAAGTTCTGACTGGAGACTGATCTACACATGGCCCTATTGTCATCATTAGTCCATTTAATCAAGAAACCTGGGGAATGTGGTCAAAGAACACTATTTGCATGAAAATATCCTTAAAAAATTCAGCACTGAGACTAGGGAGATAGCAGGGTAGAGTTCTTGCCACACAAGAATGAGAACCTGGGGCTGGAGAAATGGCCCAGTGGTTAAGAAGACTGGCTGTTCTTGCAGAAGACCAGGGTTCAAATCCCAGCACCTACATGGCAGCTAACAGCTGTGTGTAACTCCAGTTCCAGGGAATCCGACAGCCTCTTCTGTCCTCCGCAGGCATTGCATGAGATGGGTGCACTTACCTACATGCAGGCAATACACTCATACCATAAAATAAAAATAATAAAATATATTAAAAAAAGAATGATAACCTGGACTCAATTCCCAGTACCCATATAAAGAGAGGCCATAGTGGCTTGGGCTTATGATCCCAGCACTGGGAAGAGATCCACAGATCCCTAGAGTTTGCTGGCCAGGAAGTCTAACCTAATTGGTGAACCCTAGAACCCAGTGAGAGACCTTGTTTCAAAAACAAGGCAGGGGCTGGCAGATACCTTAGTGGATAAAGTCATCTGCTGCCAAACCTGAAGGGCTTCAATTTCTGGGACCCACATGGTAGAAGGAGAGAACCAACTCCCTCAAGTTGTACACACACACACACACACACACACACACACACACACAGTAAATACATAAAAACGTAATAAAAAATTTAAAAAAACAAAACCAGCAACAAGGTGGATGACTGCTTAGGAATACCTGAGATTGCCTCTGGCCTCCATATACATGCATACACAAATGAGAAACCCAGCCAGCTCTATGCACAATGATAGTAGGAAGCCCTGTTTATAAACTCCAGAAGGGTAGGATTTTCCAATTGCTCATTATGGGTATCCCTGGTGCTTAAAGCCATGCCTGCCACATAAAAGATTAGCATTTGACAATAAATTCATGTTATACATGGAATTAGAACCTGTAAAAGGAAAAAAATTAAATCTTACCTCAAAACTTGTGTGTGTTTTAAATGTAGATTTGCTATTTCAGTTGTAGATATATAGTAAGTTAAATTCTCCAAGGGACACAGGTATGCTATGCTGACAGAATACGAGGAACAGAACTTTATTCAAGTTTGTTCTTGTTTCCTGATCCATGAGTATTTAAAAGAGACTTTATTTTATAAAAAGTTACATCTGGAAGTAATGGTCTGACTATAACAGAGTTTCACCTGGAATACATAGGTAGGCTTAGTAGTCCACAAGTCCCTAAAACTGTATGCAAAATCTATTATGTGTACGTACTGGCACATGTATCTTTTTGGTGAGAGAATTCATAGTTTAGTCAGATTCTCAAAGAAGTCTATGACCCAAGAGAGTTTAAAAATTACTTAACTAGGAACAGTCACAGAGCTGTTAAAATGAACTTGTACAATGAAATGATGTCCAACAGCTCCATCTATGGGTAAGTCATCATCACCTAGTAGAAATGTGGACAACCACCATGAACCAGTGCAGCTCAGGAATGCTCATGTTCAAATCTTCAGTGTCATTCTGTGTGAATTTATCAACCTCAGCATCACTGCTTCTTTCCCCAGATGTAGATGCAAAATTACGAGGCTGTGGATGAATTCTACTTACAGTACTTCAGCACCAAAAACCTGGGCAGTTATGCTGATGTGTGTATATACAGTTCAACACCTGTCAGTCTTAAAATGCTTATTTATAGTGAAATCCATAGAAAACCGTTAAAAACTTTCCTATTTACATTTTTTAAAAATTAAAAGTATAGTTTCCTTTGCCACAACTTGTCAAAACCGACTCTTACCCTCCCACCTCCTCCCCCTCCTTCTACTTGTGACAGACAGCAATCACGAGACCAAAACATAGCGTTTAAACAAACTGTGTCCTAAAAAAGTAAAGTACTTAAAAACATTACATTTAGAACTGTAAATGAACTTTTTATACATTTCAAAGGGGCTTAAACAAAAGTAGGTAAAAGTTACTTTCAAAGTCTGAGTCCAACATGAATGTGCAATTTCAACATCAAGAAAGCATCAAATGAATGAATAGTCTGTTTTCTTCACCGTAACTGAACGTTTCGGTTGGGCCAGAAAATGTTTCTTTTCCTCTGCTTCCCAATGAAACATTTTCTAATAAGTTGTCTTAAAGGGGAGAAGAGAGGAGGGGAGGTGGAAAGGCCAGGCATTCCTGGTTCAGAAGAAGAAAAGAAATATGGCCTGTTCTGAAATGTTTACATTAAATAAATAGGTGAGTGTGTGGAACACAATAAATTAGCATACAACCGAGGGGCATGTACACACCACCCCAAAGTACTTCCCACTGGTCAGGGATCTGATTTCTACCATCCAGCAAGGACTCTTTAATGCTAGCATTTTCTTAGGTATTCATATATACTAATCATGAACTGAGCAAATGTAAAATGTTAGCCAAATCAACAATTCCGGGGATATGCAAAAACATACAAGATTTTAAAAAGCTGTTCCTGAAACATCATTCAAAATACAAACTATTCACATTCTCCTTTCTTTCTTTTTAAAAAATATTTTCTGGTGGCATTTTGCTCAGTGGAAACCAGCTGAGGAACATTCACAGGAAAAGTCTCTTTCTTTCCACTGAGAGACAAAACTTTCCCATTGACCAAGCTCTGACAGAGAGAGAACACCAGATCTCTGGAGATGTGCATTTTTTCTTTGCTTTTTTTTTCCTTTTTAATCTATCTATCTATATATTAAAAAGTACATTCCCCTGTGAGTTTTATCTTGTTAAAATGCTGCTCCTGCAGCAATATCTTGTTGAAACACTGCTGTTTCAAGGTCCACAGCCTAAGTATGAGCAAAGTGCTTTTTTTTTAGTCAACAAAATACGAGTTTCCCTGGACACTTGGTAACCAAGCAGGTTTTAAAGTGCACTCCCGTGTCCAAACACTAGGACGCAGAGCTCTGAGAGGGGCTGGGTTCAGTCCCGTCCTCCGTGCTGCTATCCACGTCCTGCTCCATTGCTGTTTCATCGTCATCCAGCTGCTGACTGGTGAAGTTGTTTAGCTCAAGAAGTCCACTGGGCTCCACTAGCACGTTGGAGCTGGAGTGGCAAGGAATGGCATACTGGGGAATGGCCTGGAAGAGAAGACGCAGGAGATTATCTTCACGGTGAGAAGAGACAGGAGGCTTTCCCCACCATTATGGATGGCAAAAGAAAGCTGACATTTGCCAGACAACCACTCCATGCAAAGAACTGTGCTGGATTTCACACACACCTGACATTCCACTCAATCCCTGTGAGGTCAAGGTGTGGAAATTATCATTCCCATTTACAAACAAGTAAGAGACTTCCTCAAGGGCACAGCTGCCAGGGTTAATGCTGGATTGCACTTCAAATCTCATACAACTCAGTGATCTTTGCACAACTTTATAGGACAGGAGCTAGACTTTAAGGAATACTTTTATAATTATATTTTTGCTCTTTACGATGAATGACTAAGTTGCTGACACATAATATTTTAAGCCTCTTTGGTGTTTCAAAGAGGAAATACCTTGTTTGAGTCACAAAGGACAAATCGCCCTTTATTGAAAAGGAGTAGCGAAAGTATTCTAGCATAAGAGAAGCCAAAACTTGCCTTTTAAACAACCAAAAATATTACTGGTGGGGGATTCTTTGGTAAGTACTTATTGGAGGTTTATTGCCTTGCCAGATTAATTTTCCATCTTTATAACTTTACCTATTTTTTTTTTTTGAGACAGGACCGCGTATATTCCAAGCTGGCCTTGAACCTGCTATGTAGTCAAGATGACCCTGAACTTCTGATACACCTGCCTCTGCCTCCCAAGTGCTGGGATTACAAGTACACACTACTGCCAGGCATGGTGGCGCACACCTTTAATCCCAGCACTTGGGAGGCAGAGGCAGGCGGATCTCTGTGAGTTCAAGGCCAGCCTGGTCTACATAGTGAGTTCCAGGACAGCTGGGGCCATAGGGAGACCCTGTCTCAAAAAGACCACAAAAAAAAAAAAAAAAGCAAAAAACAAAAAAACCAAACAAGTGCACACTACCATGCCTGGCCTTACATTCCTTTTAACAAGAGATATCAGTTTATGCCTTACCCCTGCTTCTAAGCCTTGACAGGAAATGAACTATATTTCACTCCTGTTAATAAAATGCAGAAAAAATAATTTCCAACTAAGCAACACCAAATCACTTACAAATTATTGAGTATGCCAATCTAAACCCCAGCAGCTACAATACATTGTAGCAAAATCAGTCACAGTTACCGTGTTGGACAAAAACTGTGCTCAGGGTTTAATTTTGTGTATCCCTTACAGCGATCCTATAAAATGGCATTACTTATTCTCCCTGCTAATGATGAACCCAAGAAGAGGAGGCTCAATAGTCTAGACCAAAGCAGTGAATGACAAAACCAAGAAACCACCCCTTTTCCAGCATACCCTACCCAACTGAGGTAAAAAAATCATAATTACAACAAAATCCTTTGTTAAGAATTATGTAATTGACTGAATTCATTTGTACAGAGGGAAATATTATTTGAATAATTCAACGGCTATGTTGACTTGCCTTAATTATCAAGCTCCTGTGTTTAATTATGTCCTAACTGTTAGGTCAATCTGCTTTTTCTCAAAGGCATCTCTGCAATAGGACAAACTTACTGTATGAACTTCAAAGTCACACAACTGTCAATCTATGGCAAATCCTAAACTTTCTACAGCTTCACACATGAAAATTCTCCATGAACCATGTGCTGCCCTGATACTTTCCAAACTATACGAGCTTAGAAAAAAAAAAATTGCCAATATAAGAAAAAACACTAATATCTCGGATTGACAGATGGAAATAAAACACAACTCCTAAAGGCTAGTCTGGACTCAGTTTAAGTCTTCGATCTTAATCTCTAATGCAGGATGACAGGTGGCTTTAAGAATGAGAAGAATGAGAAAGCCAGGAAGACAGACTGTTAACCAACTGTTCTACTATGTTAACTGGCCTGTATTTACCAACAAATGACCACAACAGTAACAAGATTATTAAAATAACGATTGAAATAAAAAGCAAAGTTTATTGTTAATGCCAAGTCAGATATAAAAGTACTTTAGAAACATCCCCATAGAATGTATTTCTCCAGACATTCCAGTTCGCGTAAGTATGACTGTCCTAGGAACCACAAATTTAGATTAAGACTGTTTAAAAACAGTCCCTAAAATTAAACTCACATACAATCTAGCTATATTCTAGGATTTTAGAAAGCAGACTGAGGATCTCAAAATGAACCTAAAAAATTACTGACCTTTTAATTTTTTTTGTATAAGTGTACCATGTGCACGCAATGTGGGTACAGTCCAGACAGTTCCAACGACACCCCCCGAAACTACATTTATGGATGGTTATCAGCCATTATGTGGGTGCTGAGAACCTAACTTGGGTCCTCTGCAAGAGCAACCAGTGCTCTTAACTGCTGAGCCATCTATCCAGCCTAAAATCACTGACCTTTTGCACTAACTTGCTAACCCAACAACTGGCAAGCATGGTGGAGAACATAAATCAGGGTGACACAGTCTTCGGCCCTTTACTGTCACACAGTATGCTGTGACAACATCCACCAATTTTCCATGATCATTTTCCAAAAGAAACAACTAAATATAAATTTATATATCTGTAATGGGTTTGAAACCATGTCAAAGATAATCTGTTTTAAAACCACCATAGATTGACTGTTTCTGTGATACCCCAGAATGTCTCAAACCCATAACCTCCCCTCTGCCCAAGGCTTCTCATTTTCCTTCCAATTCTTACCTGAATGATAATTTCTGTTGGGCTCTCTTCAGCTTTCTTTTGGCCTACATTCTGAATACGCATGAACTGGCCTGTCGTAGGCACTCCTGATGCTTCAAGTTTCCTGGTCGTTAGGGGAGGGCCAACAGCAGATGGACTTGAACAGGACTCTCTACATTTCTGTTGCTGGGGAGTGGAATTCGCCATCCCTGCCACCACCATGTGGGTGGAGGGTAAAGATCCTGCTTCACCAGTGAGCACACTAGTGGCTAGAGCCTTCTTTGGGGGATCCACTACCATATGTTCTACATTTGTATCAATCTGAGCTTCCATCAAAGACATTTTCAAAATGTCTGACACTGCTGTCTTCTCAGAGGCCTGAATGGGAGATATGCTTGTAACTGGTGATGTCAGCTTAGGCACAGAACTGCCACCAGTTATCTTTGTAACTGTGGGAGGCTGGCGCCCCTCAAATGTTATCTTTGTAACAGAGGATCCTTGGGTTATAATTGGCTGCTCCACCTGAAAATAAATTGGGGTTGTGTGTGTTATAGCTACATCTCTTTGAGAAAAACTAATCAAACACTCCAGAAAATATGGCAAAAGAAACATTTGTGCGGTATACTAGGAAGACATTTTGAAGCTCGATGTTTTAGTAAGAGGGCTGGATGGGAAGGATCTGTTTTCTTTTAAGGAACCTAGGGAAAGAGGAGGGGTTGAAAGAACCTTTGTTCAGCCAGCCAAGCTTTGAGGTAGTAAAGGAAAAAAAAGTCACAGCAGCCTAGTTTTCCTTTGAGATTTATATCCCTATACAGCACACCATCAATCTTCTCAAACGATTTCATGTAATCTTTTAAAATAAAAAGGAGTTTGGTATTTTTTCAATCCTTTGCTTCAAAGCACACCTGTACAAACATAGTCTACATATATGTAATTACATATACACACATATTTCATTCCAGAACCACTGATTTTTGCTAGTCATTTTTTGTTCTCCTGACTATCCAGATTCTTCTATAATCTAGAACATAAATCTAGAAGATACTTTTGTTAACTTGATGGCAATAATATAAATTACAAAGGAAGATAGATGGTCAGTGAAGTTCCTTAAAAGATTGATATTTACTTAGCATAACTGCACAGAATTAAGAGTCTATAAGCATGGAGATAACTAGTTTACATTTAAAATATATGAATAATTTGGGGCCATCATTTCCATGCACTATTGGTCAACACTAAAATGATTTCATTAAAAGATGCTTGGGAAGTCAAGCTCCAAGAGTATACTCTTTCTCTCATATTAGTATGTGCTCTTCTTCCCTAATACTAACTCCAGCATAACGAGGCTTTTGGGTTTCCTCTTGCCAGGAGAAAGCACTGTTGGCATGTTAGGGCTGTGATGGTCTTACTTTTCCCCCGAGAACACAGAAGTTAACTTTGCATGCTATCAAAATTCTGTTACCTGGCTTGCCGGCTGTTTCTCTGACGAGGCAGGGAGTGCCATTTGGCTCTGGGGATTTTGGGGTTGCACGTAGATTTTTGGTTGGGTTGGAGCCTGCTGTAGTTTCGGGAGCTGCTGTGTGGTTTTCACTGCAAGTACCTGTACTACAGTTTGTGGGGGCTGTGCCATTAAGGTAGGAAGCTGCCTGTCTTTGGCCACCATGGGATGCTGTGTGTGCTGTACATCTGGCTTGGGCTGTGCTTGTTCCTGCTGGAGAGGGGTAAGTTTCTGATGCCTGATGGAGAGCTGAGGCATCTGCGGGAGTTTGTGCTGGAGCTGGTCTGCCTGCAGGTGGATGGTCTGCTTCTGTTTGGTCTGGAAGCACTGCAGAGTTTTCACCTGCAGCTGAGTCTGTTCCAGCTGAGGCTGGCTAAGTTTCTGCTGTTTAGCTGACTGTGATTGAGTCAGGGCAGATCGGTAAAACAGACCTGTCTGAGGGTCTAAAGTGTCCATCTCTTCAACCTCACCCTCCTCAGTTCCAAGTTCCTCGCTGTGTTTGGTAAAAGCAGTATGACTGCTCAATGCCTAAGTGGAAAAGACACAAAGTAAGAATGAAATAAGAAAAACACATACCTTATTGACACATTTTTCTTGAACTAGAAAAATTTGAGATTCACTCAAAAATTTTTAGAAGAGCCTTAAGAAACCATAAAGCCTCCTAGGCTTTAGACCAAATCTCGTAATTTGAACTCCCAGACAGTAAGTACTTCAAAGTCCAGCCTACTCATGAATGTAGGAAAAGTCCAAGACAATGCAGAACCTACAGAGTAGAGGAAGAAGGTGACCTCACAAGCACAGCACAAAAAGAAGAGACAGGCTCCCCAGCTCAGGAACTTCCCTGCAGCCAGTCTCTGAGGGCAGCTCACCTGGCTAAATATAGCCAAGGATCAAGGTCCAGAGCAAAGCCAAGGTTCTGGAAAGCCCATTTTGGCCATGTGCATGCCCTCAGTCCCAAAGGCCAGTCATAATGTTTGGGAAATGTGCTCATACCAGCCCCTCACAGCAGGCCTCCCTGAGGAGGGCTGTCACCAAGGTCTGTGTCTCAGAGTCCAGGCTCATCAGGCCACAACTTCCCAGAACCTGGTTCCCAGGAGGGAGAGCGCTAGGGAAGGACAGGTCAATCCTATGGTGGAAAGCAGACTGCCTGGGGTCAGTTGAGATAGCACTGGGAATAGAAATTGTCTTGAATGACACTGTTAGGGCCAACCTGTCTGACTTCTAGGTGTCTTAGGACAGGTCAATGTTAGGACCTGCCAGGTAAAAGACAGACTAAGACCAGTGAAATCTTCGGCCAGATGGCTTTTCTTTGGGACACAACAAAATCCACCTCATTCCCATCATTTCCATTGCCTGTGCTAACTACAGTGCTGTTCTAAACTTTAAAGCTGGAACTTTCCCTTGTACCATAATGACTGTATATAGACAAGTTTTCAATTCATCATCTCTTTACTGTCTTTCTGTAACCAGGTTTAATCACAGGCAGCTGAATGACAATCATTCAAGTGAATTAACTAGGAGTCATGGTTGAATCTGATATCCATGATGAAGCTGTGTAGCAAGTGTCGCTATGGGTTTAAATCCTGGCTCTGACACCTGGAGCAAGTTACTTAACTTTGTTGAGTATGAGTTTTCTCATTTACAAGAGGGATGATACACCCACCTTTCAGGGTCATGGTGAGAATCAAATTAACATACTTAGAGCTCAAAGCATAGTGTCTGACACAAAATCAACTTATCAATTGTAGCTTCCTTCATTACCCTTAATACCAGATGTTTCTGTTCCATGTTAGCTCATTCTCCTTCCTGTTGCATCTTTCTTCATAATTGGTCACACATAGTTAAGCCAAATATTTATTTTACTTCTTATTCATACTGGTCTCATAAGAATTCATTATAAAGTATAAAACAAAAACCAACAAAACAAACCCAGCAGCAACCAGCTAAACAAGACAAATGCTATTTCATTTTGAAATTTTTATTTACTTCACTGGTAAATTCTTCCATAACAGTAAGAGACACAGAAATAGTGACCAATTCTAATGCTATGAGTCACCCAGGGAGCCCTGCCTTCTGAAATGCAAGTTTCCAGACTGTTCAAAAATACTATTTCCTAATTATTTGCTGGTGTTAGGACCCTCAATTCATCATCTATATTCACAGATGAATGAATTACACAAACGCTCTATAACTCATATCCCTCCTTTTCAGACGGGGGATGAAACTGAACTTCACTTTGGGAATGATGTAGTTACAGAACATAGGAAGAGATAGAAGAGATACAACCTGCTGCATGATGTGGGTGATTGCTCCAGGGGAAGACGCTGGGATGGACTTTACCACCACGGAAGTCTGTGTTGCAGTCTGTGACTGAGCCACATGTTGGAGCAGGGTCCGTTGGGGCTGTGAGGGCTGTTGGGGCTGGGAGCGATGACTGACTGAAAATAGAGGAGGTGATGATATTTCTCCAGAAATCACCACAGTAACTGTAACCACTGATCATTTTAAACAAATGTCTGTGAACTTGTATCCCACAGGATGTGGTACTGTGAACTAAGAGGAAGATCAGAATCTGCCCATCTACGAGCTATATGACTCTAAGAACGTCTCTTATTATCTTCTCTGAAACTGTTTCCTCATCTGTAAAATGTGAATAACAGAGCTATTTTAAGGATAAGCAGAGAAATATATAGGGAAGCTCTGCGAAAACTACTATTACCAAGGAGGAACAAACCCTTTAAAGTAACACCCTCTTGTGAACTATTATATTTCTCCAATGACTTTTATTCTGCTAAGGTAACAAAGAAATAATGCATTTCTATAATCCCAGATATATCATAAGGAAAGTGAGGCAATGTAAGCTCTTTGTCTCTTGATCACAGTTCCAAATGAAGTCCAAACATTGGAAGCATTTGCTACTTTATATGAAGTGACAGTGTTTCATAGCCTTATAGTTCCTAAAAATCTAAGAGGACAGGATGATGCTACAGAAAGAAAAGTAAAGCAAGAGTCACTTGCTTTAGCAAGAGTAACTTGACCCTGGCCCACTCCTAGCAGTCATGTGGATCTGAAGTCACCTATCCTCTATTCATCACTAAAATCTAAAGGTCTTGTTTGTGTATTTGGACAGGATAATGAAAACTTGCCATTTTTACTTAGAAGAGGACCAAATGAAGTAATGGGTTGAAAAATGGTCTTTAAGTTCTAAGTACTAAACAAATATATAGTCAACAAAAGAACAGAAAAGGCTATTTTGTCACCTCAGTTTAGCGCATCTAAATGGTAAGGACGCAGTTACAGGAAACAACTCCACTCTTACTCTCTTGGTACAGAACTCACCCAAACTATCCATTCACATAGGTGCCCATTTGTAACATCTTTTACCAGCCTTAACTGTTTTTAAACAATCACATCCAAATCTATAGAACTTTCACATGCTTTTAGTTACTGGGAAATAAACCCCTTGCATCAAGAACAAGTAAAGCAAATTTGTAAATGAGCTAAGGACTTTAAGATTTTCAAAATTCAATCAATGACCCATAATTCTAATGATTATGTAGCTTGACCTACAATTTCAAGTAACACTGGTTCCATGCTTAGAATAGTTGGGTGTCCAAGAGTAAGCTGGTACCTATTTCTATAAATCAGTATAAAAATACTTTTGTAGTTGTGTAAGGACCAAACTTTAGTTATTATTATAACACGTTCTTCTCTTTATTATATACTTGCAAATTCAGCACTTCTCTTGTGCTAAAAATACACCTACAAGTGCTATAAGATCCCAGAGAGCGTCATCTAGATGCCTTTTTATCTGTGTTACAGGACTTCACTGCATTTCACAGTATGCTTTTATATGTGGATTTTAAATTACATGAGTTAAAATCTTCTGTATGTTCTCAACTAAACTGAAAATAAAGTGCCAGGGTTTATGGAAAAAAAAAAAACTACTGAAATAATTTATAGTATGACTAAATAGGAGAAAAATAAATTATGATAATATTAAACTTAAGCAAATTAATGAAAATTTTAATGGACACATCATCAAAAATGAATGACATTTAAAAGATAAATAAATTTCTGATCATATGGAACATTTTTGATGCCCATACATATCTTCATAAGTATTAAAGTAAGGTTTAACTAAAAGAGCAAAATGGCCGGGCCTGGTGGCATGCGCCTTTAATCACAGCACTTAGGAGGCAGAGGCAGGAGGATCTCTGTGAGTTCAAGGCCAGCCTGGTCTACATAGTGAGTGCCAGGACAGCTGGGGCTACAGGGAGACCCTGTCTCAAAAAGACAAAAAAAGAAGCAAAATGGACCTAACAAAAGATACCTAAGACTGTATAAAATTAATTCTTCTTCAAGATATTATATACTTCTTCATACCAAATGCCCAGGTTAGGAGACTGAAGTTCAGCAAAATCAGAGAACACTAACATCCTCTACAGAACTATACAGGGGCCAGAGCAGCAGCATGCTTTGAAGTCAAAGCAAATGCTCAATATGACTGTGGGCATAACGGGTGTTGAATATGGAAGGAGATCACAGAAAGAACATTTGGTAAATAGACCAAGTGATCTTAACTGGCCCGCATAAATACCATAAAACAGTCATTTATTTTTTTAACAATTTTTTCCCAGTATTTATTAAAGTGTTCATTTCTGAGACAGAATCCCACTACTCTGCAAAAAGAAATTTTCTTTCCTTTCAACTAAGTGGAGCTTACCTTTCCTCTACCAGAGCAGAGTAGAGCGCATCCATTTAAATGGTTCCCCCACAAACAAACATCTTCTACCTTTAATTACATTACAAATGGATGCACACCACTTACCTAGAAGGGGAAAAGCAACCTCTGTCCCCTCATCAGTGCGTTCTGAAAGGATAAGTAAGGGAAGAAATCACAAGTCTTTTCATCTATTTATCGTTTGATCATTAGGCTAATAGTCCCCCAACTTACTGGCCTTTGTATCAACTGCCTTTCTGCTAAATCTCTCTGAAGATTCTAGACAGCTTTCTATTATCTTAATTGAATTTTCCCTTTGAGGATTTTAACCCATCAGTCCTAATATCTCTTAAAATGATGCTAAAGAACTTTCCTCTATGGCATTTGTATCCTTCAAATGTTTGTTAACTTTATGGTTTCCCTTAATTACTGCAAAAGAAAACTTAAGATAGGAGTCCTCTATGTTTTGCCTCCAGAGTCATCTCTCTAGACTCCTTGATTATTCACAGTATTACTCTCTGAACTATTTCAGATACCAAGGTAATGAAGTGTCCAAAACAGAAAGCAATATTCCAAGTGTGGTCTCACCAGAATTTAAAGAAAAGAATTTCACTTCTCTGTATCTGCCATCCCCCAAATCTCATTAATGTTTTGTTGCCAGACCACATTTAAAAAAACATCTGATGTGCTTTCCACTGGAACTATTAAGTATTTACAGGGATTTAAAGTTTTCCACATTATTTCTTTACATTAAAACATGTGACTGGGTTCTGTACCTTCTTTCTCTCTTGATGCACCTCCCTCCACACTAAAAACTCCAGATACATAAAAACTTTTACATAAAAGATATTTTATTCCTTTCTAGCCACTGCTACATAGTCACAGATAAATTTATGGCCAACTTGTAGTCTTATATTTCTTGCAATCTTTGTAACATACTATTGGCTTTTTAAATCATTAAAGACATGGCAACCCCAAAGGTGATGTCATTCTGCTCTGAAAACAAACAGGAAAGGGGCTAGAAATATAAAGAATGTGTTCTCCCCTAAATGAGCACCCCATGAAATCCATCAAGGCAGCACTACCTTGACACTGCGTTTGAAGAGAACACCTACCAGTAGTGATGTATTCAGCAACTAGCTCTGACTCTACCACAGCAATGGATGGACTCTCGGGAGAATGTCTCTTTTCCTGGGTCATCTGAATAGGTACTGCCATTTGACTCAAGTCAATAGTGGGTTGTCTTGGTTTAGATTCCAATTTTTCCTTTACTGTATAAAAAAGTCGGGGAAAAGTTAACTTTTATTATAAATAAGTACTAAAACCAGAGCTGTCCATGGGAATAATGAACCAGACCTCTGGGGTGCCACACTGGCAGTAACTAAGGAGACAAGGAGTTGAAAACTGCAGACTTCTCTGTACAGTTGTACAGTGCATAGCCTGTACAACCATAGCCGGTAGCCTACAAGAACTCATATAAATCATACTCCAATCCCCACTATTACTCCAGGTCCAGCTAGACGTTTCTCTTTATATACTCCTCTTAGGATGCTATTTCCTTTGTATTGAAGATAATCCCTGGTATCCTTGGTTCACCAACCTAAAACAACAGGTGAATGAACAGCATATAGCATCACTTGTTCCAGGGGATATCTCAGAATTGTGCATCCCAGTGATAATTTGATCTACTAAAACTTCAAGGGTCTGGGGATGTTGTCCAGAGGTAGAGTGTTTGCCTAGCATATACAAGGTCCTGGATTTGATCCCCAGCACAAGAGGGTAAAAAATTTCATATAGCCTTTACTGAGGCAGGAGGATTGCTATGAGTTCAATGCTGGCCTGGGCTACATGGTGCATTCTAGGCCAGCCTGGGCTACAGAGTGAGGCTCTGTATTAGAGAACTACCAAATTTAAGATATGGCCAAAGAAATGTTACAGGGTCTTTAAGGACTCTTCAAGAATATAATTTAAACCTTTCACTGTAAGGGAGAACATGGGCTCTTTGCTTCTGCAACAATGTCTGATAGAACAGCCTGTAATCAATAATGGTTTCTGTGTATACATTCATTTTCTATCTTCTTAACACTTTTTTGACAAAATTTCTTTATTCAATGTTCCTACATCTATAAAGCACTAATGGAAACAGCTGAATTTGTCAAAGACAAGCCCAAGGTCAAAAATAATATCAATAAAGAACCATCTATACAAATTACATTAAATTCCAGTATGGCGTGGAAGTTACAATAAATAGTATCCAATAACTAAGTCTGCTAAAAGACTGTTCCCACCAAGGGCAGATGCTACAAAAGCAAAACAACCAATTTAAACAAAGAAACCAAACCAAACCAAAGAACACAGCTGTGACCCCCACAAGTAATCAAAAAGTGGGGACCCTCTCTAAACCTCTGCTTACTTATTCATAACATGAAAGGGTTAGATGAGATCACCACTGCAGTCCCCTAAATACTCAGATAATCTTTGACCCACTGTAACAGAAAACCCAGTGGAACGTATACAGGTTTGTCCTAGAGTCTATCAAAGATTTAGGAAGTAGGACTACTGATGGGATCTTGTCATATAAGTATACTTTTGCATAGAAGGTCAAGTAGGTCATCTAGACAAAAATAATAATAAATCTGAAAATTAAATTACAATAAATGAGAACATTAACAAGACACCCTAATGGTGCTTCATGACAGTAACACGGCTCTAACAGTATCAAAGAGGGCAGCAGGGCCCTTCCATCTGTGTCCTGATTCTTAAATATATTTGGCAACTGAACTGCATTATGCTTGTGCTTAGTTGTGATACACCCATTCCTTTTTGGTGGCAAGAAGACTGTCCAGTTTAAGCAGAAGACAGCCCTGTCAACTTTATCTCTGTTCTAATGACAATGGTCCATCTGTGCTTCACGTTCTTGTGTACATTTTAAAGAACTAACAAGAGATGTACTAATGATTATAGGTAAGTCCAGAGGGGGAGAAATGTGCAAAAACTACGTAACAGTGGTGTATTTTAGCACAACCCGTCTCTAGAGAAAACATGCTTCATTCAATTGAGCATGTGAATTCATACCTGTTGTCTGTTGGAGTTCTAACAGAGCTTTGATTGTTGAAGTAGCTGATTGTGATTCACTGGATACATCCTGATATATTATGGTGGGACTAGTCTCCATTGCAATCTCATGTTCTGACCAATCCTGACGCCGGGAAGCAATTACATGAACTACAGGCTGGGAATCTGTTTTATATTAGTTAAAAAAAAACAAACCCTATAAACAAAGTTTCTCTTTAAAATAAAACAATTTGTTTTTGTTTATTTTTGTATTTATTGTAAACTTTAAACTTTATCTCTCCAAGGAGACTATAAGCTCCCAGAAGGCATACTGTCTCTCACTTCTAAATTCATTCTTTATTCACTCATTTATTTTACACTAGACACCTATGTGTCAGAATCTATATTTGGCATTGAAGAGTTAAAGGAATTCACAGAACAATCAAAGAATGCTCAAGAAGCAGAGTCTGCTTGAAGAGACGAACATGTAAAAAGACAAAATACAATTCAATATGATAACTCCTATCTACACAGGTGTGAACTATACAGGTGAGTGCATGTTTGTGTTTAGTTAAGAACAAATGTTGTAGGAGTCTGATTTTCCCCCATGTCCCTGAAAATGTTTCTGTATTACAGCCTGAGTATTTGGTGAACATTTACAGGACGGGTGAATTACTGACAGCAAGACAGACAATCTAGAAACAGCATGATGTGCCAAGTATAAAAGAGGTAAAGGAAGGTTAAACAACTGTCAGGTACTAGCAAGCTGATTCTTTGCTTAGCTTCACTGTTTAATAAGAAAAACAAAATCTTTACCTCAGGATTTCTGAGATACAACAAATTAATAATAGTCATATGTTGTTTAACAATAGGAATACATTCTGAGAAGTTCCATGCTAGGCAATCCTGTCATTGTGAGAATATAATCAGTATACTCACACACTTAGAAGGTATAGCTTGCTACACATGTAGGCTATACGGTATACCCTCTAATTTTGTCATCATATGTATATGTATATACATATATATACACACATATAGTCCATCACTCAACAAAACATTATTACATGGAGCATGACAGTATGTAAATAAGCTTTATAAGCCAGTAAAGCAGCAGAAATGTGGTTGCTGAGTACTAGAAATTTTCAATTCTAGACTTTTGGTTGGCTGGAAAATAAATGCAACACTAATGTAAAAGTTTATTATATTCAGAAGAGCTGTACAGTTACACATGTAAGTGCTAAATGTGTATCAGTTTAAGCAACAAATACTTTGAGTTTTCTATCTATAGAATAAGCAAGTCTGACTAGACTATCACCTTCCTGAACTGCTCTGTTCAAGATCCTATGTAAGAACCTGCAGAGGGGCCGAGCATGGTGGCACGTGCCTTTAAACTCAGCACTTGGGAGGCAGAGGCAGAGAGATCTCGGAGTTCAAGGCCAGCCTGGTCTACAAAGCAAGTTCCAGGTCAGTCAGGGCTACCAGGACACCCTAACTGAAAAGGAAAGAAGGGAGAAAAGGAGAGGAGGGGAAGAGAGAGAGAGAGAGAGAGAGAGAGAGAGAGAGAGAGAGAGAGAGAAGAGAAACTACACAGTATATAAAGATATGATCTCTGCTCTCATATCTAGATTATAATGTTATAATGGGAGAAACATAAAAATGCATAGATAGCTTTGTATTTTGGTGTAAATATCAAATGATTAGAACAAACAAGAAAAAAATATATAGAGACTGCTGATCAGTAAAAGCATCTTAAAAAGAACTCATACCATGCCTTTAATCCCAGTACTCTGAAGGCAGAAGCAGGTGGATCTCTGCCAGGCCACCTTGGTCTACATAGCCAGTTCCAGGCTAGCTGAGGCTACTGGGAGAGCATGTCTCAAAAAGTCCAAAAAAAAAGTCTGGAGAGATGGCTCAGTGGTTAAGAACACTGACTGCTCTTGCAGAGGCAGGTTCGATTCCCAGCACCCACATAGTAGCTAACAACTACCCATAACTCCAGTTCCAGGGGATCTGACACCTTCTTCTGACCTTCGAGGGTGCACTTACACACATGCAGGTAGTACACTCATACACATTAAAAAGATAGATAAATATTTCTTTAAAAAGAAAAAAAAGAAAAAAAAAAAAAGAGCTCAAAGCCTCTAAGAACCGTATCTTTTTGAAAGCCACAAAGCTACACAAAAATGTTGGTGCAAAGGAAACAATTCTCATGAGACAACTTTCCTAAAGAAAACAAAATCAATATGCAATAGGTTCCAAATGTTTAATTACCATTAACAAACAGACCAAGTGTGGTGGCACATGCTTGTAATCACAGCATTTGGGAGGTGAAGGGAAGAGGATCAGGAGCTCAAAGTTATCCTCAGCTATACAGTGAGTCTGAGGCCAGACTAGACTACATGAGACTCTATCTCAAAAAACAAAACAATAAAATAAACAGAAACACTGAGTAGAAAAATGTCACACCAGAGATGTAACATTTCTATTAAGCACCCAAAATATAAAAGACTGAGGGGCTGGAGATGGCTCAGAAGTTAAGAACGCTGGTTGTTCTTGCAGAAGACCCTGGTTCAAATCCCAGGACTCACATGGCAGCTAACAACTGTCTGTTACTCCAGTCCCAGCGAATCTGACAGCCTCTTCTGACCTCCGCTGGCATTGCATGACACAGGTGTACTTACCTACATGCAGGCAATGCATACATACACATAAAAATAATAAATTTTTTAAATGCTTTTGTCACAACATTTAGGAAGATGCCCCACGTCTTCCATTGTCCAACCAGATGTCAGCATTCCCACTCTGTCTTTGACTTCTCCTGCTGAATTTATTTATTTGTTTGTTTTAGAGACAGGGTCTCATGTAGCTCAGGCTGGCCTCAAATTTAATCCACCTTAATTTTAGAAATAAAGCTGGACATAAATGGAGAAAAAAATTTTTAATACTTTAAAAATCTGAAACCCAGTAAGGGTCCCCTTCCAAGTGACAAAGGGAAAACAGAAGAACAACTTAGGAGAGAAAAGAGTACAGCAGCTGCAGAAAACATGTGGTCCAACTTTCAGTAACTGATAAAGGCAAGAATGTCCTTGATCCAACAGGCTTGGTCACCTAGCTCTTTATCACATCTAAACAACAGTCCAGTGGTATACCACTTAAAAAGTCCACCTACAACGTTAGAGGAAACTGCAGAAAGGAAACCATGTTTTGGACTGAGGAGACAAAAAAAGGTTTAAAATGGAGCTTAGTCCTAGCCCAGCTATTATGGTCACTCTTCTGTTTGTTCATTCTGTGAAACTTTTTTAAAATTTATTATTTTTATTTTATGTGTATGTGTGTATTGCCTGCATGTAGGTGAGTGCACCCATGTCATGCAATGCCTGTGGAGGTCAGAAGAGGCTGTCAGATCCCCTGGGACTGGAGTTATGGACAGTTGTTAGCTGCCATGTGGGTGCTGGGATTCAAACCCGGGTCTTCTGTAAGAAGAACCAGTGTTCTTAACCGCTGAGCCATCTCTCCAGCCCCTATTTTGTGAAAATTTTACTGAGTACTTAGTGCTACCACTTTTTTTTCCTTCAAAATATTGGATATACAGAAATGACAATGATCATTGGCTTTGAGAAGCTAATAGTCTAACAGAAGAAAATAATAGTAATAGAGAAAAATCACAAAACAAAATGGTCAACTTAGCTGGTAGTACAAAGCAAAACCAGATGCATAAAGGTGAACACTGCCAGGGTGGTCATGTCTCATCAGGGCAATGACCAAGGACTCTATTATTGCAGCCTGTCAAGAGACAGTTCAGGATTAAAGCCCAATGTGCAGGGACCTTAGAAACCACAAGTAGAACCAGGCATTCCCTTGTAATAAAACATCGTTATTCCAGGATACGCAGAAGAAAAAAAAATCTCCAGAAAAACACTCAAGTCAAGAAAAGGCCGATCCTTCTTTAGAGTAGATTATCATCTATGTGTGCTAAAACTTGATAAGCATTTGATGAGGAACATTACATTTACAAAGTCTCAAGAGTACCTTCCCCCAAATTACTATTAATCTCAAAGAAGAATATGTTAACTTCATAGTAAAGAAAACTGGAAACCAACATCCTAACCAAGAGATCAGTTAATTAATCTCATTAATGCTACAGAAAACTGACAGAATGTGTCTTTTGATAAAATTGAGATACAACATCCACCTGTCCTACTGAGCTAATAATGAGGAAACACCAGACAAAACTTAATTGAAGAATATTTTACAAAGTAACTAACCAATACTCTTAAATAATGTCAAGGTCAGTCAGGCATAGTACCACATGCCTTTAATCTCAATACCTGGGAGGCTGAGGCAGGCAGTTCTCAGAGTTTGAGATTAGCCTGGTTTCCACAGTAAGTTGCAGACCAGTTAGGGTGACATAGTGAGACCCTGTCTCAAAGGAAACCAAACAAAAATGTCAAGGTCAAGAGGAAGGGAGAGAAGGTGAGAGCGAGAGAAAGAGGGAGGAAAGGAGGAAAGAGAGTAAGGGAGGGATGGGGGTGCTGAGCGGCTATTCTAGGCTAAAAGAGGATAAAGAGTGATGCCAGTGCCAGAAGCAGTAGCTCACAGCTTAATTCTAGCACTTGGGAGGCTGAGGCAGGAGGATCACCATGAGTTTCAGGCCAGCCTAGGCTACAGAGTAAGATCCCATCTCAAAAAACCAAAAAGGAAGAAAAAAATGTATATCAGTTACATGTAATGTGACCCTGAGTTGGAATATGGATGGGAGACAAAGCAATAAAGAACATTTTTCGTCCATTAGTAATATATCTATATGGATTACTCTACCACAAAAACTGTATTTTACAACCTTTATAAGGTCTGACACATACTATAAACCACCAAATAATTATCAATTGAATTCATATACAGCAATACAAACTATATAAAATTAATATATGAAGATGCCACCGAAGAACTAAAATAATGAAGAGTGTGCCTAATATGAAGAAAGTGTACTAGAAAAGAAACAGTAATTAAAAAAAAAAAAAGCAGCACTCTAGCAAGGATAATGGTATGCAGGAAGAAGGAATAGAAGGAGGAAAAAATAAGAGGGAAAAAACATTTTTGCTTAGATGTATCAGAATGCATAAGCAATGGCATAAACATATAAGCTGAACAACTCTAAACTCAAAATTCCAAATCAAGAATGCTCCATGATCTGAAACTTTTTGAGCACAGAAATGATACTACTAGTAGGAATAACTGACCTCACATGATCAATCACAGTAAAACACGGGTGCAATTTTTTTACTGTAAAATTACCCTAAGTATATAAGGTTTATATGAAACATACAAAAATATCATGTTGAGGCTTGGATCTCATACAAAAATCTGAAATCTAAGACACTTCTCCCAAGTATTTCAGATATAGGACACTCAACCAGTACCACTTGACAATAAGGGCAGTCAAGATAACATGAATATAAGATTTCAGGGAAGTCACAAAGCTATGAGTTTTGGAGACTGCTTAGAAAAATATCACCTTTAAAAAAAAAAAACACACTGAAGATAAACATTCTCTTTGCTTTGGTGTTTAGCTTTCTAATAGTTAAGAAAACCCTTGAATTACTATTTGGGGTACTTTAGAGAGTGAAAGGGAACATTATTAATAATCATGCCAGAACAGACATAAACTAGAACTTGACCCATGCAAATGGAAATGTATGTCATCCCACACAAGCTCACCTCTAGTCACCTTTCACTTTCTTTTTTAAAAAAATATTTATTATTTTTATGTGTAGGAGTGTACTGCCTGCATGAGTATAAATGTGCCCATGTCATGTGATACCCTTGGCAGTCAGAAGAGGGTATTGGCTCCCCTGGAACTGGAGTTACAGGCAGTTGTTAGCCACCATGGAGGTGCCAGGAATCAAACCCGGGTCCTCTACAAGAGTAGTCAGTGCTCTTAACCACTGAGCCATCTCTCTAGCCCACCACCTTGATTCTTTCTCAAGATTCAGCAACAATCATTTCAAAAGGCATATTCATTTTCTTACATACTTCTTTCCCTACTTACCCAAACCAAACAGCAAGAATATAAAAAGCACTACCTTGAAACTACAGCTCTACCTAGTTTCTACTACCTACCTGATAAAAAACCATCATTTGGAATTTATCAATTATTTGTTGAACATATGTTATACAGTAAAGAATGGCTACATTATATAAAAAACAAAATTTCAGCTCACTCACTAAATACATATAAAAGAAAATAAAATCAAAAGAACTAACACCAGCTTGGTTTGGAATCCCTAGAGGGAATGGCTATTTTAAAACTAGGGCATTATGTCAACTGTGATTATATAAATAAGAAGTAAGTGGGTCTTACCTTGGGAACTTTGGGAGGACTCTGTAGAAGAGGAACTACTATCTGTATAGCTCTGTGGTTCTTCTTTTCCTTCCTGAATAGATGAATTGCCAGCCTCTGCTACCCTGGATGCTTGCTGTAATGTTTCTGTTACCAGCTGCCTTGTTTGTTCACTAACAACTGTAGCTTGAAATGTCACTGGTTTGGGTTTAATAAGAACCTAGAAGAAAAGCAGAACATACCCATATTAAAATGCTTAAGTTGGCCCCAGCACTGGAGAGACAGATTTGGAGGACTAACACAAGTTCAAAGCCAACTTTGGCTAAATAATGAGTTCCAGGCCAGCCTGGGCTACAGGGTAATATCCTGTCTCAAAAACAAAAAAACAACAAAAGAAGCCAAACTTTGAGTTGTAAACTACTATTTTCCTATTACAGAAAATAGCATTCTGTATATTTATTGGGCTTTAGGCACAGCAGAGATTAAAGACTAATTCAATCTACAAATGAATTATAATTAAGCTATGTACAATGTCTTAAGTGGTACATACCAAATTGAAACAGCTACTGATTATTACTCTCTCTGTGTGTGTGTGTGTGTGTGTGTGTGTGTGTGTATAAAAATAAATCTATGTATTGTGTGCACACATGTGTGGGTACTCACAAACACCAGAAGAGGGTGTTGGATTCCCTAGAACGGGTGTTAGAGGTGGTTGTGAGTCACCTGATGTGGGTGCTGGGAACCAAGCTCTGGTCCTCTGCAAGAATAGCAAGCAGGCTTAACCACTCAGCCATTTCTTCAACTGCCAATAGCTGTGATTGTGACAAGACCTTTTATACTGTTTTTTTCTTATTATGACTTCAGAAATCATTTTATAATATCATATAATATAGTAGACTAATAACTACAAACTAAGAGTAGTTGAACAAAAAAAATACATAAGCAGTCTAGATTCTCAATAGAATTTTTAAGTCATAACATCTGTCTAGGGCTTCCTCTCTCAGCTTTTATTCACAGAACTGGACCCTAATTTGTTAAGCTGCTGTGCAAGTTTCTTTTCATGAGGAATCAAATGAAATTCCTGACATAACTGTTCAAAGTAGCTTACTTGAGATCTAAGTAATCTTTCAAGAAATCCCAGAGGAACACTGATACAAACTATTACCCAAAGCAACATGGGCAAAGTCAAATTCACAGATAATGAAACAACTAAAATGGAAGAAAATTTTCAAACTGAAATATTCCACTACACAATCTGGACTCTAGGAATTGGCTTTAATCAGATCCATGGAATAAAAATATTGAGTCATCGCAGTTATTTTACTTCTATCATATTTGGCTTCCAAAAGTTCAAGAATAAAAATATGGAAGTAAATGAAACTGTTACTGTTGAATTCAACAAATTATTTGGACTTGTCACAAAACTAATTTTTAAAGTATGGAAACAATTTGGCTACAATTTTAAGGGTACAGATTCTAAAGGCCAATTATTAATTCATTTAAGTAAATTACTACTTTTTACATAAGCTTATGATTCCATTTCTCAAACAAAGATGATACTGCTTCCTCTGATATTCTCAGTAAAGTAGTTAAAATACCTATAAACAGTAGCCTAGAAACACATGATTATATCCTGAACCTCAAATTCCTAGGCAATCCATGAGAAAACATCTCTTCCCTTCTATTGGTTGAAAAATGAACACATTGCTAGCATCTCTGTTACATAGGGTTCAAGTAAAACTACTTTTATAAGTAAAGTGCTCATGAAGGCCATATACCTTATAAAACGTAAACTTTTTAAAAAATTATTTTTATTTTGTTTATGTGTATTGGCCTGCATATATGTAAGTGCACTCATGTTGTACCATGCGCGAGGGGATCAGAAGAGGGCATCAGAACTGGAACTGGAGTTTGGACAGTTAACTATCATGTGGGTGCTGGGAACTGAACCTGGGTCCTCTACAGTAAGAACAGTCAATGTTCTTAACTGCTAAGCCATTACTCCAGCCCCAAAAGTAAATATTTTGAGAGATTCATCCCTTCCTCAACCATCCAATTCTCAAATCACAATATGCATCTTCAGTAAATTTTATTCCAAGAAAATTCTTGTTCCTACCTTTATTCATAATTTGACAGAAATACCCAGACATCTAGGCAGTTTTTGAGAACAGATTAATAACTACACATTCAGTCTTAACTTTTGAAAACCTGATTTTTGCTTTTCAGCCTGCTGATCTTTTCCATCAAATTTCTACCTGGGAATCTCAGGGATTTAAAAAAAAAAAAAAATTCAAGAACCAAGAAAAGTCAGCACATCTTACAGCATACCTGTGTTTTCCCTTGCTGCCCATAAACTATTTTTGTTGGGATGATTTTAGCTGCTGGCTGGACTGTGGAACCTATTCCTTTTGGCTGAGTTACAATCATTTTGGTGATGGGTCTTGTAGCAGTGATGATGGCTGGTTTCGCTCCTGTTGGCACTGTCTGAATAGTCTTTTCTCCCTAAATTGAAGTAGTCATTATTTAAGAGATTTATATTCATTTAAATGATAAAAAACAAATAAACAAACAAAGCTGTCCTTTTACTGAAAAAAGCACAGAAAAATTTTGCCAGGATGGGAAAAGAATGGTAGAAAATGGTAGAAAATATGGTAGATATTTCTAAGTGATTTAAAAAAAAAAACACACACAAAAAACCCTAGGCTTAGTTGCAATAATATCAGAAACCATCTGAACAACTTTCTTACCACAAAGAAATTATTTCTGGTGAGTTTTTGGAAAATTATCACATCTAAGAACATGTACATTATCTCATTTATAGAATGCATATATTAAAACAGAAAATTCTGAAAGAACATACACTAAAATGTTAACAATTGTTATAGTTAAGAGCTGAGACATTCATCTTTAGTTTTTTTTTTTTTTTTTGGTTTTTTTGAGACAGGGTCTCCCTGTAGCCCCAGCTGTCCTGGAACTCACTATGTAGACCAGGCTGGCCTTGAACTCACAGAGATCCGCTTGCCTTTGCCTCCCAAGTGCTGGGATTAAAGGCATGTGCCACCACGACTGGCCCTCGTCTTTACTTTTTAATATATTTGAAGTGAGTAAAGTTATTTTATGTAGTAAAATAACTGTGCAATATACCAGCAGATAAACATACACTTTTAAAATCAGCTCCCTAAGTGCTACATATATATGAAATGATAAAGGTATACACAGGAGGATGTTTGTGTGAAAAGGTACAGGAAAGATGAAAAGAATGAAGACATTAACATTCCTTCTAAAGTTATATGGGGAAAAGGGAAGGAAAATTTAAAGCATTTCTCTTGTTGTTACTAGTATCACTTTAGTCTTATTACATAGAGGTTAAGCCCATTAACTTTTCACCATTTTCTGTACTTCATCTACTTTATTCTGTGTGTGCACACCTGTGTGCAAGCACACATGCATGTGTGGTACTGGAGACTGAATCCAGGCACACGTGCTAGATAAGTGCTGTACCACTAATCTGTAGCCTCGGTCTACTGTTTTATTTTTAAATACCATTTTCTGGTCATTTTTAAATCTCAGCATCTTTGTACTTGAATTTAACTAAATTAAGTTCAAATCCAATATTTTTATTATTAAATTTTTAAATTAAAATTAATGAAATTAAAAGGAATTTGTGATTTTCACATTATCGTTATTCTTCATTTTTAGCTATCATCATTTTAGAACCTTTCAAACTTAATGGCTGGTATGATGAAAGCATCTGGGTGAGCTGTCTAAAAAGCAACCACTGGGGCTGGAGAGATGGCTCAGTGGTTAAGAACACCGGTTGTTCTTGCAGAAGACCTGGGTTTGAATCCCAGCACCCACATGGCAGCTAATGACTGTCTATAACTCCAGTCCCAGGGGATCCTATGGCCTCTTCTGACCTCCATAGGCATTGCACGACACGTGTGCACTTACCTACATGCAGGCAATACACACATACACATAAAATAAAAATTAAATAAGTTTTTAAAAGTTAAAAAAAAGCAATCACTGAGAATTCATAGCTAAATCTGATTCCATACATCATAAACTTAACTATCTGCCAAAATTAACTAAAAGAAATAAAAGTAGCTGCCAATCAGGCAATTTATTTATTTCAACTCTCACATACCATTTGCAGCAGTAGCAGTCTTGGAAAGAGCTCTGAGCTATCTGTCAAGAGCCACTAGTTTGCAAATGGACATGCCACTCTATTAAATGCTTAATAGGTCCTGTCCAAGTATAATGACCCAAACATAACCAACTGCAGGGTATTATTTGAAAAAGCTCTTCTGTGCTGTGGGCAAGCACAGGATGCAGGTAATAAGTACAGGTGCATGTTCCCATGTGGTGAAGATAATGGTCTTACAAGTTGATCTGTTTATTTTACAAGTCTTGCTGTGTCAAACTGAAGTATTAAGTAAATATAACTCACACATGACTCTTAAATCTCTTTAATCACATAGGACCTATAGCAGATGGTATCCCTTTTATAAATCCAAGTACTATAGAACCACACTTATACAGGATTCTGAAAATCTGAATTCTAATCCAGACTTCACTGTTGATACTCTGTGAATCCAATCTAGAAATAATTGTCTTTCCCACATGTCGAAAAAAGCCTAATTCTGGACCCCTCTCAACACTTGTAAAAGACTGTGATGTATAAGCTTTTATGAGAGCTACTGAAATGAAACACAGCATTCCACCTTTTTGTAAAGTTAGGAAAGTTAAGGAGGCTACTAAGCTTAAATGCTTAAATACTAAGAACAGCAAGAAAACCAATGACTAAGAACTCCCCACGTACCAGACGCTGTTGTAAGCACTTTCAAAACAACCATCACCACCCCAAGGTACACATGAAAAATAAAGGAATAGAGAAGTTGAATAAGTCATCCAAGGTCAAATTGGAACACTGAGACACAAAGCCCAGGTGTATCTTTTTCCTGCTTCTTAAAATTAGCTTCAGGCCAGGCATGGTGACGTACGCCTTTAATCCCAGCACTCAGGAGGCAGAGGCAGGGCCCGGTCTACAAAGTGAGTTCCAGGACAGCTGGGGCTACAGGGAGACCCTGTCTCAAAAGACTAAAAAAAGAAAAAAAAAAAAAAAAAAAAAAAAAAAAAAAATCAGCTTCAGAACTACAAGTGGTAAAAATGGTAAAACAAGAACAAAAAAAACCTAAGTAACAGATCCCCTTCAATTAATTTTATTCTAAACTCAAATATTTCTTTTCCAACCTAAGTCAAATACTAAGCCACAATCTACTGGCTATCAGCAGGAATATTTGTGTTCTAAAAGTGTTCTTGTAGACAAGCCAGAGGAATTTTCCATCTGAACCAAGCTAAGTACCTAGATCACAAGTCACCTCACTATGAACAACTATAAGCAACATGCTTTCAAAATTATTGTGAAATACAGCATCAAGTGATGATGCATAAAAAGTTACTCTATCACAGTAGTTGTAAATCAAATCTTTCTAATCAATGTGGAGTTCTGAAGTCCTTAGGAAAACTTATGGATAGCTGGTATTTAAAATTCTTAATGGCTCACTGAAGCCTGCAGGTCAAGCTCTTACTTACTCCAGCATTTAGCAATGTGGTGACAACGTTTTTGCCAGGGAGCCCTTGAATGGTCGTTCCTTTTCCTGTAGTCTTTTGCACAACAATCACATTGGGCTTGGAAGTCATTGGGATTGTAGTGATTTTGGTAGTCGTTCCTTAGAGAAGGAGGAAGAAAAGGAGGCCTGCGTTAAGGACTAGTGATACTTGGTTATTCCTGTGCATGTTGGACACAATACATGTATAAACAATGTCGTCTCTATTTAGATGACATGAATGTGGTCTAAAGGACAAAAATGAAGGCTTGGAGAGTAAGTTATAAGTCATCCCAGAATGAGAAGATACTAAGAATTGACTCTTGGGATTGGAGAGTTGGTTCAGCGGTTAAGAGCACTGGCTGCTCTTGCAGAGGACCCAGGTTCAGTTCATATGGTGGCTAACAACTGTCTGTAACACACACATAAAATACAAACAAACAAATTTTTTAAGGTTTTAAAGAATTGACTCTTAAAGCAGTCATCGTTTGAGAATCTAAGGACCTACATATCAAATTCAGAATCTAAAAACATCTTTATCCATTTCCCTATCAAGATTCTGTCCTGACCTAGCTAAATGAAGCAAATCAAACTCTATTTCATGACACACATATTCCTCAAATCGAATATTAAAAAAATCTATGTGACCAGCTTGATGGGAAAGCTCTTCAAAAAAGAACACTAGAAGTAAACAGCAAAATTCACCAAGCTTTACTGAAAATTTGTGAAAAGAAACACACTATGTAAACCCAAGCATGGTGGTGAATATCTGTAATCCCAGCACTTGAGAGGCAAAAGCAGGAGGTCTGTGTGTTCTCCAGTCTGTGCCTGTCTCAAAATAACAAAATGAATGAATAAAAAATAAATAAAAAAGACAAAGTGAGCATAGATGAACAGATAAGCTACATATTCAATGTGTGCTTTACTCTGGAGAATATGAAATGAAACTGACTTAAATGGGTAAACATGTTTTTTTCAATCACTAAGGTCTATTCTCTTATTATACTAAGTGAGGTAATTCAGTCCTAGAAAAATGAGTATTGAATGCTCTTTCTCATCGGTGGATCTTAAGTTTTAATGTTTGTAATCATGTAAATAAGAAGTTATAAAGTGAGTACAGGCTGTGAAACTATACAGGAAACCATGAGAAAGTAACAAAAGGTGCAAAAGGTGTTGAGAAAGGAGCGGGGAGGGCAAAAAGTTACAAGTGGCATGACAGTGGAAAGGAGATACTGAAGGTGGGAGGGAACCAGGGAGGGACTGGGTGGAGAGCAAGTGTAGGGGAAAGAAACAACAAAAACACATTTTACTTGCAAAATACCATAATCAAACCTAATTCTCTACAAGAGAACTGCCTGACATGATGGCACATGCCTTTAATCCCAGCACTCAGGAAGCAGAAACAAACCAATCTCTGTGAGATCCAGGCCAGCCTGGTCTACAGAGAATTCCAGGACAGCTGGGGCTTCAGGGAGACCCCATCTCAAAAAAACAAAGATCTATTTTCTAAGTTTTCTAAGTGTATAACATCTACTATAACATACAGTGCCCTTTCCCCTACATCCTTTCACAATCTGCTTCTCTTCTACCTATCAAATCCATCTACTATTAAATTTATGCTCTATATTCTTCTAGTTGTCTTAGAAATCCTAGTACAAATCTTGATTCATGCTGTTTACTCCCAGGACCTGTCAACAAAACATGACCTTTTAATGTCACTGACTCCTCAGTGTTTAGCATAGTGAGTTTTAATTACTTTGTAATTGATGTTCACTACCCATGTGAATGATCCCAATTTACCAGGAATATATCTTCTTTAAAAATGCTATCAGTTTACACTCCTGAACAGTCTTCTGCTGTTTCTCTATCATACAAACAGCTTTATGTACCTGACACATCCAACATTCTTTTATGTCAAGAACCTGCAATATGTTAAATGGGTTTTCAAAAATCTAATTCCTACTAGATCTAGTTCCAAGCCAGTGCCCCCCCACCCCCGCCCCGAATGTCAAAATCCCACATGTAGGCTGGTGACATGATTCAGCAGTCAAAGGCACTTGCTGCCCTGCCTGACAATGTGAGTTCAATCTTCTAAACCTACATGGTCAAAGGAGAGAACTAACTCCTATAAGTTGTCCTCTGACTTTGGCACACCCCACCCCCAAAAAGAAAATAAATGTTAAAACAAAAACAAAACCTTACACTGGTTCAGGCCCTTAATCTACCAAGTTAAACCTTCTTAGTTCCTCCTAATCAACAGTAAACACCACAAACTCTTGGCTAACAATATAGCTTCCCACCATCTAATGCACTCCTTCCTATACACAGCTTTTGAGGTTCTATCAGACTTTAATTTTTAGGATTATTCAGTATACAGCTTCCCCTCAGTGTTGGTTTCCATATTGAACAGATCAGAGCCAGTGCTACCTTTTTTTTTTTTTTTTTTTTTTTTTTTTTTTTTTTTTTGAACCTGAAGTTCACTGTTTGGGCTAGGCTGACTGTACAGCAAGCTCCTGGGGTCCACTTGTCTCCATCCAAATACTTTTAATCCTACAAAATTTCTGTGCCTAAGAAAGCAGGCATACCATATTTTTCTGTAGGTCTGTATATTACATGATTAGGTACAAAATGGGTTAAATAAAAACATAGTAATATACTCTCAAAAATATTAAGTAAAATTTTGTTTTCCCCTCGAAAATATTAACATTTTTTTCTTTCTAGAGTTCCAATTGACACATTACTTAAAATAATATAACATCAAGAATAAGAAGGATTTAGTTGATTTTTAAGAGTTTTAAAGAATATTCTGGGGGCTGGAGAGATGGCTCAACAGTTAAGAACACTGGTTGTTCTTGCAGAAGACCTAGGTTCATATCCTAGCACCCACATGGCAGCTAACAACTGTCTGTAACTCCAGTCCCAGGGGATCTGACAGCCTCTTCTGTCCTCCCCAGGCATTGCACGACACAGGTGCACTTACCTACATGCAGGCAATACACGCATACACATCAAATAAAAATAATAAAATTAAAAAAAAAAAAGAATACTCTGCTAATTATGGCTATCCTATTATTAAAAAAAAAAATCTTGGGCAGGGCACACCTTTGATCCGAGTACTCAGGAGACAGAAGCTGGCAGATCTTGGTGAGAATGAAGCCAGCCTTGTCTAAATAGTGAGTTCCAGACCAGATGATCACATAATAATACCTAGTACAGGGAGACCTTGTCACAAAAACAAAACAAAAAAAATCTTTTTAATTTACTTACTAATGCCCAATGTCTCATTAGTCCATGGCACCACTAAGCAGTTACACAAGAAAGCACTTTTTAAAAAAAATTTTTATTCATTTTTTTTTATTTTATGTGTATGTGTGTATTGCCTGCATGTAGGTAAGTGCACACGTGTCATACAATGCCCGTGGAGGTCAGAAGAGGTTGTTGGATCCCCTGGAGCTGGAGTTACGGACAGCTGTTAGCTGCCCTGTGGACGCTGGGATTCGAATCTGGGTCTTCTGCAAGAACAACTACTGTTCTTAACCACTGAGCCATCTCTCCAGCCTCAAGAGGGCACTTTTATCTACAGACGAGCTTCACAACTGTTTCCCCTTTAACTACAGTCGTGAATAAGTGAGCTGTTAACAAACCACAGGAACCAAGCCGCTTGTTGTTTGCTTGTACCAACTTTAACTCTTGATACCTCCAACCCTCGTTACGACTATATAGGCCTTTTTGAGCAGTGAAGCCTTACCAAATATTTGTCATGAAAAAGTGTTTTTAGAAACTAAGCAGTACAGGCGTGGTGGTGCATGCCTTTAAACCCAGCACTTGGGAGATAGAGGCAGGCAGCTCTCTGTGAGTTCAAGGCCAGCCTGGTCTACACAGTGAGATCCAGTTCAGCTGGGGCTATAGGGAGAACCTGTCTCAAAAAGACCAAAAAAAGAAAAAGAAAAAAAAAACAAAAACAAAAAAAACCTTAGTGGTAAAAATTACCTCAAGAAAACATAAACTATGCTTTTAAATCAACACCAAAATATAAGGACCGCTGTTTTTTTGAGTCAAAAGTTGCTCAACGGGTGATTTTATTTACATCTACTAAAATATCTATGAATTTAGGTGAAAGTTATAAATCTACCAGTTTAATAAACTGGGGAAGCTAGATAGGGGACAATGCTACAGGACCAACACAGGAAATAACAAGCATAATATTATATTAAATAGAATGTAATTTTTGTCTAGAATGAACAATTCTAAATGCCTGAAATTCCAGTGTCAATTTATGTCAGGGCTATCTATGCTGTATTGAACAAAGAAGCATCACTTATTTAAATAGAAAAGGAGGTCATCTGTGCTTTCAGAGCAGAAGGTTTACAGCTTCCATGATACAACAGAATGTATGTGCTTAGCTTTTCAGCATTCTTGTTTTTCTCAATTGAGTTTCTTATTTGTTTGTTTTGCTTTATAGCACTGGGGATCAAATCCAGGACCTCACTCATACTAGGCAAGTACTCTATCACTGAGCTACATCTCTAGCCCCTGTTTGGCATTCTTTAGAGTAGAGATTAAAACTTATGTACATGCTTCTCTATCACAGAATCTCATACACTATCTGGCAGATCAGAAGCTACCTACACAGACTATAATTAAAAAGAGTACAAATAACGGACACAATCACCTGGAAATCACATTTAGATTATAATGGGCTCGATAATGATGTCTTTCAGAGATTCTTTTATTATTATTATTATTATCTTTATTTTATGTGCATGAGTGTATTGCCTGCATGTAGGTTAAGTGCACCCTTGTCGTGCAATGCCTGCGGAGGTCAGAAGAGGCTGTCAGATCCCCTGGGACTGGAATTACGGGCAGTTGTTAGCTGCCATGTGGGTGCTGGGATTTGAACCCAGGTCTTCTGTAAGAACAACCAGTGTTCTTAACTACTGAGCCATCTCTCCAGCCACGAGATTCTTATTTTTTAAAATAATGCTTTTGTAAAAAGCAGAAGCAAGTTCAAGGGCAGCGTAGCTACACAGCCAGTCTGAAGCCACCCTGGAATATATAGTAAGACCCTGTCTCGAACAGTAACAGCAAACTATGAAAAAAATCAAAATGATTATGGTCAGCACAAGTGGGGCAGACCTGCAATCCCAGCTACTCTGAAGGCTATGGCAGAAGATCACAAACTCCAGGCCAGCCAGCCTGAAAACCTTAGTAAGACCCTATCTCAAAATAAAACCTAGAAGAGAGTGGGTAAGGGTGGGTTGAGAATATAGTTCAATTGGTACAGTACTTGCTTAGCATGCATGAGGCCCTGGGTTCAGTCTCAGGCACCCCAAGGGGGAAAAAAAAAGTTTGAACATTTTTTTAGGTTGACTAAAAGAACACACATTTATTGACTCAGAGCCTACTATTCAGAGATTCTTAAACCATTCTGTTTTAGTCTCTGGGTAATGTTTTAGGTTGCTCTGGCCAAAGAACGGGGCAATGAATAAATGAAAAAGTATACAAACACTAGTTCCTTGCTTAGATACTAGAAAGACTAAAGGAAACACAACCAAATCTTGCCACTGTCACAGTTTCTCGTAATGTCTGTAGAGTTACAATAATGAGATCAACTCTGAAGAAGCCAAACTTCTATATAAAATGGGTTCACAAAAAAACCTTACAAATCTGACATAAATCTCATTCATAGGTATATAAATAGCATAGCTTCCATTTGCTTATTCTATCTAGAATGGTGGTGGTTATGGTGGTGCACACCTTTAATCCCAGTGCTCAGGAAGCAGAGGCAAGTAGATCTCCGTGAGTTTAAGGCCAGCACGGTCTACATAGAGTTTCAGGCCAGCCAGAGCTACACAGTAAGACCCTGTCTCCAAAATACCCCAATATTTATTGTAAAAAAATAAAACTATGACTTTTCTAGAAATACTATGGAAAATTAATGTCTTATGAATTATACAAAGGAAGTAAGAGCTTCATAAATATATAATTTATGTATGTTCATCAAAGGATTATTTATAATAATCTAACCAAAAAATTTTTGAAAAACCACACTTGTAAACAACCTAAACTATCCAACAAGAAGAATACAATTAAATTATAGTATATGAGAGAATGCTATGTAACCCAGGGAGTGCATTTTCTGGTATGGGAAAATAATCTAAATTGTTACATGAAACAAGAATACAAATTTAATTTTTTTATACTATACAAATTTACAGGCTCTTAATTTTCTTTGTACCATTTTAAATTCCTCCACAACGAGAGGGAATTTTTGTTTCTTATTTTGCTTTGTTTTAAAGTCTTTTATTCTTGTGGCTGGAGAGATGGCTCAACAGTTAAGAACACTGGCTGCTCTTGCAGAAGACCATGGTTTGAGTTCCAGCACCTACATGGTGGCTAACATAACTCCAGCTCCAGGGAATCTAGCACCCTCTTCTGACCTCTGCAGACATCACACAACATGGGTACACTTACATACATGCAGGTAATACACCCATATACATAAAATAAAAATAAATAAAAAATTTTAAAGTCTTCTATTCTTACAGCCAGATGGTTGAGAATATTTTAGGAAAATAATTCTTTGGTGGAGGAAGGGGATTCTAGAACCCACTACCCGCTCATAGGTGAAGGCAGAAAACTCTAAATTTGTTCAATCAAGCTACCAATTTACAGTGAATACATTTTAAAGCCACTATACTACAGGCCTAGAGAGGTTAAGAGCACTGGCTACTCTTGCAGAGGACCTAAGCTCAGTTCCTAGCACCCTCATGGAGGCTAACAACTATCTGTAACTCCAGTTCCAGAGATCTGACGCCCTCTTCTGTCCTCCTTGAGCATTGCAAGACACGGATGCACTTATACACATGCAAGCAATATACTCATACACATAAAATAAAATTAAAATAATAAAATATTTAAAAAATACTATACTATAATCCCAGTATTATGAAATAGCAAGAATATAAAGTGAAGTAACTGTTTTGTATAAAGAATAGTGATGTGGGAGCCAGTGAAATGGCTCAGTGGTAAAGGTATTTGCCCCAAGCTTGATGACCTGAGTTTGATCCCCAGGACCTACTGAAAGCTAACTTCTGAGAAAGAGGTCCTCTGACCTCTACATGCATCCCATGTGTTCACACATGAATGTGCATGCATACATATGCACACATGCACACACACACACACACACACATACACACACACAGAATTAAATAACTTAAAGATTGGTGATATAACAAAAGCTGGTTTAGAGAAACCAAGAGTGAGAGAGGTTCTCTGGACATTGTATCAAACAGTGAAGTAGAGGCAGACATATGATAATCTCTATGCAACAAATAAAGTTGTTTCAGCTGTATGCCAAGTATATCCTACACTGCTGGAAAAGTTTAGTAACTCTTCCCACGTATACACACCCATCCATCTGAAATAGCAAGTAACCTTGAGTGGTTTCATCTTTAACACAAAAGTGAATAGTGTGTATACGTGTATTATTATCAGATAAAATCTCTGCTTCTAGGATGTGCTTATTACTTAATATTACTCCAAAATAGTACAAAGCAGCTACATCATAAACAAGGCCCCAAACCAAAGACCTCATGACATTTAGACATACCTGCAAGCTATACATATACTATAAATTCACATATTCGAGCAAATAAAGCTGTTCAAAGTCATAAAAAGTTATCTTCCAATGAAAAGCATGAACAGGTTTTTGAAAAATGTGTTTTATGCTGTGTGAAGATAATGTCACATAGTAAATTATATTTTGAGTATTAGCTGTGTTATTTAAAATATCCACTTAAAAGTTAGACCACGATGATTTTTTTCCCATTGGTCTCACCCATCTCAGGCTGGCAAACATTGGATTTTCTCACACTTAAGAGTGGAGCCAAAATTAACAGCTTTAAATATAAACCTTTATGCCAACACCATGGTCTGTTTTGCTTTTTCCATTCTCTGAGTTATCAGTAACATCAAATTACTGCCAGGAACTTCAGTCCCTTGACTTTAGAAATGCTAGAACTCACCTGGGGCAGACAAAAGGTGACTAGCCTACAAAAATGTTAGACAGTTAAAATTCACAAGGCTGGCTTAATCAGATTATTTTAATTAAAAATAATAATCAATCAAGGCAGATGCTATATTAACATTCCACTTCAAGTTCCATGACCCAAATACTGAAAGAATTCTCAAGTCAATAAAAACCAGGAAGGTTCCAATACACTAATAAACAGGCCAAGAGTTAGTTTCACTCCAAGTAAAATATATTTAAAAAGCAAATATATTTTACAAGCAAAGAGTATAAATGGTGAAAAGCAAAGATATTCAAACATTTTACATCTAATAAGCTAAAGTGACATTAGTAACGGAAAACGTGAAATATTTAGATGTACAAATTCAAGTTCTTCTGCTATTCTGTTAGTAGGCCTTGGACCAGCTGATATGAATCTCCTGAATCCAAATCTGTCTCCATTTGTAAATAGATTCCTCAAGAGTTATATAAAGTCTGAAAGGGCTGACAAATGGGAGACTTTTTTGTAAATTAAAAATCACTATGGAAATATAATCTTTTTCATTGCAATCTAAAACTAAATGATCTTTCAATGTCAGATTTATCAAAAGCTTTATATGTAAATATCTAATACTAAAACTATAAATTTGTATTTAATCACTAAACATAAGAACTGAAAACAGAGCTTCAGATTACTAAGCAAAAATCTGATAGAGTCACAGTGAAATAGTTTTTCTTATTAAAGGTCATCAATACTTTTAACATATTTTAGATATACCTACCAGAAACAATATTACTGCTAATTATCTTGCCTCCCAATGTAGCTAATGATTTGGGTACTACTGTGATGATGCTACCACTGGTAGTTTTCACATAGGTTGCAGCTCCAGGGGTTGCCGTCATCCGACCTAAAGACGGGCTCACTGTTGGCCGGGTGTAGGTTGCCTGTGTGCCTACAAGAAGAAAAGAGCCAAAAGAAAAACTTATCATTACTTATAAAAAAATAAAACAATTTGTACAATTAACTATAGTTCAAAGTAACCTGTATCACTTTAATGTGAAAATGGAATTTCAAGGTGTCAAGACATTAATTTACAATTAAGTCAGTTTTCAATGCATTATTGCAAAAACCTATGGCAAGTCAATTTGACTTAATTTTACACATAAAATTTTGTCATGTGCTGGATCCAATGGCTAGCCCAAGATAAAGTAGAATTCTGTTCCCTTTCTTGTACTATCTTCCTCCTATGCTAAAAAGAGCTTAAATTTAATCATCTTTCCCTGCCAGAGAATTTTAGGTATTTTTATGTTATGGATTTTTAAGGTCCCTGTGACTGTTTTGCACTGTCCCAGTGCCAAACCCAATGTGTCACCTCTCAGCGACTAAGGCAGTATTATTTGCCTAAAAGTGTATAACTTTTTCTGTTTTATAAGGTCATCTACCATCTTTTAAAAGGTCATTCTATCATTTTAGTAGCAATTAAGTTAAAATTGCTAAGAGTTACCAGGAATATTTCTTTAGCCTATAATTTTCTTTATTTACATATTTCCTCAACTTTAATTGACCTGTTAGAATATCTTTCTTTACATTTCTCAAAGGATTTTATACCCTCCCCACTATTTCTAAAACGTTTCTCTCCCAAGGAAGAATAAAAAGCTAATCAGATAAGTTTGCTGTAGTTTCTTATAAACCTAGTAACTCAGAAAGACTATTTCTAACCTAAGAAGTATTTTCCTTGGGGAAAATGGAAAAAAAAAAAAAAAAAGTCTAAGATGATATTTTCTTCAATCAAAATTTTCTTCATAATTAGATCCAAAGGTCACTGTGACAGCCATTTTCAAAATCTCCCACCTCAAAAAGAAAATGCTTTCAGCAAATTATTCACTTTTTAAAAATATAACCACCGGGCTGGAGAGATGGCTCAGCAGTTAAGAGCACTGACTGCTCTTATAGAGGACCCAAGTTCAATTCCCAGCACCCACATGGCAGCTAATAACTGTCTGTAACTCCAGTTCTAAGGGATCCGATGCTTTCTTCTGACCTCCTCGGACACTGCATGACATGGGTGCACTTACATACATGCCAGTAAATAAATATTACAAAAAATAAAAATAAAATAAAAATATAACCACTATAACTAAAGGAGAAATACCAAGAAGAATTGGTTTTAAGCTGATCATAGCATATAGCTGAATCAGGAAGAAAAAATAAGTCTACTACAGAGTAACTAAGCTATAGGGAGAGGAAGCTTGAATACCCTGAATTATAACTGAAAAATATCAATTTCAGCTTTCACTTTTAAAAAAGGAAACATTTGTGCTGGAGAGATGGCTCAGTGGTTAAGAACACTGGTTGTTCTTACAGAGGACCTAGGTTTGGTAATTAGCATCCATGTAGCAGCGAACAACCTTCCTTAACTCCAGTTCCAGGGGATCTGAAGCCTTGTTCTGACCTCCATAGACCCTGCACACACATGGTATACTTAATACATGCAGGCAAAAATACTCATACACATTAAAATAAATCAAAAAATTTTAAACTTTTTAAAAAGGAAACACTGTTGCAATATAAACACATAAATATCAATGCAGTATTGCTTTTCACTACCTTTCCTAAACATGAAGAATTATGTACACATAACACTGTTACCTTTCAGCCAAATGCAGAAAAGCTACAATTAAGTATTTAATATGAGGGAAAAAGGTATTTAAAATAGAAACAGAGGGCTGGAGAGATGGCTCAGCAATTAAAAGCACTGCTGCTCTTACAGAGGACCTGGTTTGGATCCCAGCATCCACATGGTGGTTAACAACCATTTATATCTTCAGTTCCAGGGGATCTGACACCCCCTCTTGACCTCCATGGGCACTGCATGCATGGGTACACTTAAATGCAGGCAAGACATACACATTAAAAAAAAAAAAAGGTCTTAAAAACTACTTCCCCCTAGCTGGGCATGGTGGCACAAGCCTTTAGTCCCAGCACTAGGGAGGCAGAGGCAGGCAGATCTCTATGAATTCAAGTC